TTTGGTTGCACATTAGATAGTGTAAAAACCAGATGTCATACGAATAAACATTAAAAAAAAAGTAAGAGAAAAAAATAATAAAAATAAATAAATAAATCAGCAAAACAAGGCAATTTCTAACTGCGGTGGTATTGTGAGCAATAACATTGGATGTAAGAGTCCCCTTTAGAAGACCAGCCTCCAGTTCCCCAGGTGGGTGGTCTGGCAGTCGAGGTTCGCTGAAGTGCTCATGGAGTGAATTCCAGAATGATGGCTGGGTTCAGCTGGGATAGGCCTGTTCCAGATGATGGTGAGGGTTTCAGTATGCCCGCAGTCTTAAGGTTCGACTCCAGCTCTTGAGAGCTCGTTCTGTATAATGTCCTGTTATGCGTGAACAATATGGCTTGCGGTATCCCCCATCTGTAGGGAATTGCTCTTGTGCGGTGATGTTGTAGGAGAGGCTGCAGTGACTTTCACCAGGTTAGGGTGCTCTTATTGTTAGCAAGGAACCTTCAAAAAGCAGGGGAGCCCTATCTGATAGGGCTTGGAATCTAAGGATAAGTTCAGCAGTTGCCGACTCCGGTGCCCTAACTGGCTTTGGCAGTCGGAACATACCATCCAGCCTCATGGATTTCACCTGTTTAGGTGGTAGCAAGACTCAGAGGAGGCGTCTGATGTAGTGGGGTAGGTCGGAAAGTGTAACCAACTCAGGGATGCCCCGGACCTTCAGATTATAGCGTCGTCTTTGATCCTCTACTGCGTTTAGTTCAGCTGAAGTGGCGATCTGCAGCTGTGCCAGGTCGGCCACCTGTTGTTCCACTTTGGTGAGTTTGGAATCGTGGGAGCTTGTACAGACTTCCAGCTGTGTGAGCTTTGAAGTGCCCCCTTCAATAGCACTTTTGTAGTAGGCCATATATGACGCCAGCTCTTTACGCAGATCCGCCAGCATCTTTTTAAGTTGATCCGCAGTGACCAGGTCCCCGATTTTCTGTGGTACATTTCTGTGGTCTGGCATGGACCCGAAGGATACCCCCTTTGTGAGGTCAGTGTCAAGCTCCTCCGAGGATTATTAGGAAAGGTCTTCAACCAGCACCATTTTGGACCATGCAGCTTGCTGCATGTTCCGCTGCATTTCTCTGATATCCCTGCCGCTAGAGCCCTTGTCAGCTTTCACTCTTTTTGTTTTGCAGCCTATGGTCTTCCCTTCGACAGTAGGAAGGGTTGTGGGGTCTTTTAGGCTCAAATTCCACCATATATCGTCAAGTATGGGTAAGTAAAAGCCAGAGCTCAGAGAAATGCACCCGCTCCGGTGCAGTGCTAACTTCACCCCCTCGCAAAGCTATAATTTTATATCACATTTTCATTTCCTAAACTGACCTTAACTCTATGCCGCTTTGTCTTTAAATTGATACTTGTCTTATGATGACCTTCTCACACACTCAATGTGTGGATCACTGGCCTGACTAAACAGGGCCACAAAAACATCCACATAAATCTAACACATGCCAAATATAGTCATAGACCTGCGATGTACTTGAAATAGTTTAAGGGAGACTATAGTCATCAAAACAACTATAGCTTAATGAAGTAGTTTTGGTGAATAGCTCATGCCTCTGAAGTTTCACAGCTCAATTCTCAGCCATTTAGGAGTAAATCACTTTTAATCAGTTTATGCAGCCCTAGCCACACCTCCCCTGGCTGTGACTGCTTAAAAAAACTGGTTTCACTTGCAATCAGATATAAGTTAGCGTAAGATAATTTATCTCCTGCTCTTTAAATTGAACTAGCATGCTATTAACAGAGCATGAGATAAATTAAACAGATTTGCAATAGATGACTCTTTACAGGAAGTGTTTAGGAAGGCTGTGTAAGTCACAAGCAGGGAGGTGTGACTATGGCTGTATAAACACTGTGGTTTAACTCCTAAATGGCAGAGTATTGAGCAGTGAAACATCAGGGGCATGATCTATACACCAAAACAACTTAATTAAGATAAAGTTGTTTTGGTGACTACAGTGTCCTTTTAAGAACTATGTGCATTTTTATTAAATAAATAATGTGTGGATTATTATTACATTAATAATAAACAGCATACAAGGCATACTAAATGTTACAAATATATGATTTTAGAATTCAGGGTTTGTTTTCCTCTCTGTCTATTCCTCTCATAATCCCCCGTCTGCACAATTCTGGGATTTGTGTAACAATAAAATGCAGAACTCCCAGATTTGTTCCATAAGCATTTCAATGTTTTCCAATGTGCTACTTTATTTAGAAACAATTTAATATTAATGGACTGATAACCATGTAACACTAATCTTTAAGCCAGACATGACACGGTGAGTTTGGGAAGAAGAAGTAGATACTACTAAACAGATTAAACAAAAAAGTAGAATGAAAAGAAATCAAAAAAATTCCACAACTCAGAATAGAATAATATAATGGAGCTATTTCTGGCTTTATTAAAAGAAAGGGAAGTATGTGGTATCTGACAGTGAATACCAGTTATGATTTATTAATCCACTAAATAGAGAGGTATACGGAATGTCTGCAGTAAAACTACAAAACAACATACAACCTTGCCATTACCTTTCCCTATTAATTCCATCTCAAACCATAAATATTACCAATAATATTACGTGCCAGATGTATTTATTTATTATTTTTATTTGGAAAGTAACAAGCTTCTACAGAAGCCATGCCACAGCGAAGGTCAAACTATGTTTTAAACAGATCCTATAAATAACCTTGCTTGTTAAGTGATAGAATTTTCCAGTTCGTACATTGTCCGTGGTAAAAAAAAATGTCACTTAGTGACTGGTTATTGCTCAGTGTCCTAGTGTTATAAAGCCAGCTTTCAGTCATTTGGGTTTATTCATTATTTGTTTATAAATAAATTTGTTCATATAATTTGTTCATAGCTAAAGATGGGATTGTGTTCCTTATACACTAGTGGTGATGTTCAAAGCTTTATCAGATCATTTATTAGAGCAGTTCCTCTTTATGTGATTGCATAGCCTGCATTGGGTGAGCTGAACAAAACTCCCCTCTTTATGATCTTCTACAGGACAGAACAATGTAGAACCAATAACAGTGGAATACGATTTGTTGGATAAAGGACTATTAGCTTTGGAATGAGCTTTGCTTGACCTATAACCTGCTACAGTGACATGTTCTTAGCATGACATACAGCCAGTTACAGTGAAATGTGCTTTGTGTAGAGTTATATGGGATGTGCTACATTGGACATGGGACCAGTTACAATTGAATGTGCTTTGGGTAGAGTAATGTGGGATGTGCTACATTGGACATGGGGCCAGTTACAGTGTATGCTATGTGCAGAGTTATGTGGGATGTGCTACATTGGACATGGGGCCAGTTACAGTGAATGCTCTGTGCAGAGTTATGTGGGATGTGCTACATTGGACATGGGACCAGTTACAGTGGAATGCTTTGTATAGAGTTACAGTATGTGGAATGTGCTACATTGGACATGGGACCAGTTACAGTGGAATGCTTTGTATAGAGTTACAGTATGTGGGATGTGCTACATTGGACATGGGGGCAGTTACAGTGAATGCTATGTGCAGAGTTATGTGGGATGTGCTACATTGGACATGGGGCCAGTTACAGTGTATGCTATGTGCAGAGTTATGTGGGATGTGCTACATTGGACATGGGGCCAGTTACAGTGAATGCTATGTGCAGAGTTATGTGGGATGTGCTACACTGAACATGGGGCCAGTTACAGTGAATGCTATGTGCAGAGTTATGTGGGATGTGCTACATTGGGCATGGGGCCAGTTACAGTGAATGCTATGTGCAGAGTTATATGGGATGTGCTACATTGTACATGGGGCCAGTTACAGTGAATGCTATGTGCAGAGTTATGTGGGATGTGCTACATTGGACATGGGGCCAGTTACAGTGAATGCTATGTGCAGAGTTATGTGGGATGTGCTACATTGGACATGGGGCCAGTTACAGTGAATGCTATGTGCAGAGTTATGTGGGATGTGCTACATTGGACATGGGGTCAGTTACAGTTAATGCTCTGTGCAGAGTTATGTGGGATGTGCTACATTGGACATGGGGCCAGTTACAGTGAATGCTATGTGCAGAGTTATGTGGGATGTGCTACATTGGACATGGGACCAGTTACAGTGGAATGTGCTTTGTGAAACCTATAATGTGTTATTTCTATGGGAATGTGCTTTACTGGATATAGCCTAATTAATGGTGAAATTGAATTTTGGAAAATAGTGATGTACAGAGAGAGGAACTGGTTACCTGCATTCCCTGCAGTAATAAACTGGTGCATTCAGCCTAATTTTGTATTTCCAAAGTGCCATATTGATGTATAACAGAGCAAGCAACTAGCGCGTTGGACAAGCATGTTCATTTTCTTTGAGATTCAGAGTTCCGCCTGTGACGACACAAAAAATGATTGATGGCTAGAGGACAGTCACCTTTTGTTGATTTTATTCACGGATCAAGTGAAACAGAACCAACAGAGGGAAAAAGGAGGCACAGTGTAAAAAAAAATCTATATTATATATTAAATAAAAATATAAAATATATCAATATAGATTTTTTTGTACTGCTCCTACTCTTTTTTCCTCTATTGGTTATTTATTTCTCACTTGATTTGTGAACCAAATGGTGGAAAAATACACCTATCAGTATACTGCAAAAAATATACATATATGTAAACATATAGTACACTGATTGGCTCGTTTGGAAACCATTTTTGTGCGTCCAAATAATATTTTTCATGGGCAATATTCAGATCAGCCGAACTGTCAAATACACGAGCGTTGGAGGTCCTGAACTAAATTTAATTTTCAGAAAAAAAATGGTTTGGCTGATCTGAACAAGTCTGTGCGATCCATATATATACTGAACAAAATTATAAATGCAACATTTTTGCTTTTGTCCCCATTTTTCATGAGCTGAACTCAAAGATCTAAGACTATTTCTATGTACACAAAAGGCCTATTTCTCTTAAATATTGTTGACAACTCTGTGTTTGTGAGCACTTCTCCTTTGCCGAGATAATCCACCTTTGTAATAATCATGCTGTCTAATCAGAATCTTGATATGCCACACCTGTGAGGTGGATGGATTATCTCGGCAAAGGAGAAGTGCTCACTAACACAGATTTAGACAGATTTGTGAACAATATTTGAGAGAAATAAGCCTTTTGTGTACATAGAAAAATTCTTAGATCTTTGAGTTCAGCTCATGAAAAATGGGGGCAAAAACAAAAGTGTTGCGTTTATAATTTTGTTCAGTGTAACTTCCTTGCCTCAGCCCCATTATACTGTATACAAACACAACTCAATGTTCCTTGTCCTTCACTAGGGAGACGTTGTGTCAAGAACAGTTTATTCTTCAATTGTCCTCTTCTAAAGGTATGAAGCAGTGAAGGGGACAAATAATATGCATGGTGTGGGCCCAACTTCCATGTTATGCTCCGGCTTTACTCATAGTGACCAATATTAGATAGAAATACAGATAAATTGTTAGAATAAAATTAGGATTTATCAATACAAACATTCCTCAGTGTTAAAGAGGAGATACAAACTGAATAATAATATTCTAAAGTTATATTTCTGTTTATCCAAATAAATATTCCTATAGCTAATGAAGTAAAGAAAACCTATTTTTCGAAAGAGTTCATTCATTATCTGGGTAATTTTAGCAGTATATGCAGATACTATAAGTGCATGTTCTGTTTTAGACACTGGCCAAAATAATCTTTATTAAAGAATATCGTGCCTTACACAATAATATAGATCTGTTTCTCCTTTAATAAATATAGCTAACATTTTCTAAAAAGATACATTAATGAATACCAGAGAAAGGTGTTTCCAAATGCCTTTGGTGGCTGATAAATGTCAAGCATTTTCTCGCATACAAAGTATCGGACATGGGGAAAGCACTGAGTCATATAACCAAGAAGCAGAGTTGGGAATAGAATTAGGATTAGGACATTAAACTCAGCTTCAGAACCTGTACAGTTGTCTAAAGATTATACGGTGATTATATCTCCCAATTACCTGCAAGTCTCACACTTCATTACATTTGCTATAGGAAGTTGGACCTCTTTAATATCTCACACTGGCAACCGTAAATGGCAGAAAAAAAAGGCACACGGTACTGCATAGTGAATTGATTTATATGTTTCTTACAAGAATAGTATTATAAAAAGTCTTAAGACTTAATAAAAATGTTAGGAGTAATACATATTTTATGTATGAATTTTGGAATTTTTAATTAGAGAAGCACTTTATTTTATTTTATTAGTAATTCAATGATGTATTGTTTGAACATTTCTTGCTAAATTCCATACATTCTGCATGGTGACAGATGTGAAATGGGTTTCTTCAAAATTGATTTCTTTAGAGAACCCTATAATTGTAATTTTGGTTGTTAGTGGTTCAGTACCTGCCATTGCATTTGTTAAATCCAAAGGTTGTTCCCGGGGGCTTCTAGCTACTTGTTTAGCTATATAATCCATCAAGATAAGGATGTATTTCTGCTATGTTCTTATTTGTTCTATTGAGTGTCCCACTTTTATCCTCAGCGCACCTTGCAATTACAACTCAAGATAACTCAATGACAACAATGTCTAAATTAAATATTACTCATCCGAAATAAAGGAATGGATTTGTTCCTCCAGGTGTGTGATTTGTCTTACTCTTGTGTATCTATTTTATTCATCTACCTTTGCTGTTATATTTTGAGTTCTTTTATTGGCTGGTCATTTTTTTATATTTTTATTAACCCTTATGAATATGTTGTGGCACAGAGTAATTTTATGTGTTATCGTTCACATGTGGCATATAAGGCTCCGAAGTGAATAATAATATATTCCATTTATAATCTATAATAAGTACACTCTCTAATTGTGCTTCTGCTATTTATATACTTTATATACTGGTTCCAATAACAGGAAAACTTAACAAAAAGAAGGTCCTGTGACTCAACGCATGTTGGCCAATACCTCTCAAGACTTTAATTAGTACTTTAATTAGGTTACGACGGGTTCTTATAATATTATTTATCCTATATTATATATGTACAGTTTATATATATTATATATAATATATCTAACATGATTTTTGCTCACATGTAAGAAGATAAATGTTTTACCCAAGACAATTGTTTATTTTTACAAAATCCCGACTCCCAGCTATTGCTCAATATCATAGTTTGTATTTCATGTTTTCCCCCAATTTATTGCAAAGTTACAAAGTTTATCTTATCCTTATCAATCTATGAATGTTTTCCTCTTTAAGCATTATGTAGATAGATGCCAAATTATATTATATTATTTATTTATTTTATTTTATTTATTTATATAGTTAAATAAAAGTGATGTTTAGAAACAGACATTATTAGAGAGAAAGTAATAAAAAGGTTAACAACCCACGTTTCATCTTTCGATGACTAAATGCTGAGAACAGATTGTTTTATTTTCAGAATTACAAATATCCACACTTCTTTGTGTATCAGTCAACATACAGCAGAAATTGTGATATATTTAGTAGGAAGGCATTGAGATTGTGCAGCTCACACACAATATAAGTAGGAGAATTGCAAAGGTTATATGCCTCATCTTCAGTCAATTTTCCCCAAAGGGTGACCAGATTCAATCAAAACTAGGACTTTATATCCCAGCCAGCACTGTGTCAGAGAATATTACTGAAACATAGTTATTATGCTTGTGAAGTGGTTGCTTTAGATAGCAGACAGCATATTCAGCTTTCGTGCGGCTCTGGTTTTATCAGATGAAGCAAAGAAATTGACATGTGCATGATAAATCACTGTATAATACACTGCTTCGAAATATTGTTTGTTACCTGGAATCCTTATCATTCTTTCTTAAAATACACAATCCTGCAAACACCGCCTGCTATGCAAAGCGATACATCTATTAATGGATCAAAAGGAACTTAAAGAATGATATATCCAATTTAATTTCACTGTTCACTTCTTCTTAGTATTATTATTATTATTATTATTATTATTATTGTTGTTATAGTGATACTGCTAAAACAAACAATAGCTATATATATATATATTAATTTATCTTTATATTCTTATTAAATTTGACACCATGTTTAAAAACATATCAGACATTAAATGTTGGATACATGATTGATCAAAAATAGGGAACTCACATTATTGCTTCATCCAAGTGAATACTTCTAAATTTAAATAATCGAATGGAGAGGCAAGAGGGGTGAAAGCACTTTCAGGTATTGAGCCACCATTCCATTGGATACTGGGGATACACAATGGAAAGATGACAGCACCTTTTTATTTTTATTTTTTATTTTTTTTTATAAATGAACTTGTTTGCATGGCATTATGCATGGTGATAAAAACATAGAAACATAGAATGTGACGGCAGATAAGAACCATTCGGCCCATCTAGTCTGCCCAATTTTCTAAATACTTTCATTAGTCCCTGGCCTTATCTTATAGTTAGATAGCCTTATGCCTATCCCACGCATGCTTAAACTCCTTTACTGTGTTAACCTCTACCACTTCAGCTGGAAGGCTATTCCATGCATCCACTACCCTCTCAGTAAAGTAATACTTCCTGATATTATTTTTAAACCTTTGTCCCTCTAATTTAAGACTATGTCCTCTTTTTGTGGTAGTTTTTCTTCTTTTAAATATAGTCTCCTCCTTTACTGTGTTGATTGCCTTTATATATTTAAATGTTTCTATCATATCCCCCCTGTCTCGTCTTTCCTCCAAGCTATACATGTTAAGATCCTTTAACCTTTCCTGGTAAGTCTTATCCCGCAATCCATGAACCAGTTTAGTAGCCCTTCTCTGAACCCTCTCTAAGGTATCAATATCCTTCTGAAGATACGGTCTCCAGTACTGTGTACAATACTCCAAGTGAGGTCTCACCAGTGTTCTGTACAATGGCATGGGCACTTCTCTCTTTGTACTGCTAATACCTCTCTCTATACAACCAAGCATTCTGCTAGCATTTCCTGCTGCTCTATTACATTGTCTGCCTACCTTTAAGTCATCTGAAATAATTACCCCTAAATCCCTTTCCTCAGATGTTGAAGTTAGGACTCTATCAAATATTCTATACTTTGCCCTTGGGCTTTTATGTCCAAGATGCATTATCTTACACATATCCACCTTAAAGGACCACTATAGTGCCAGGAAAACATACTCGTTTTCCTGGCACTATAGTGCCCTGAGGGTGCCCCCACCCTCAGGGACCCCCTCCCGCCCGGCTCTGGAAGGGGAAAGGGGTAAAAACTTACCTTTTTCCAGCGCTGGGCGGAGAGCTCTCTCCTCCTCTCCTCCTCCTGGGCTGAATGCGCACGCGCGGCAAGAGCTGCGCGCGCATTCAGCCCGTCGCATAGGAAAGCATTTACAATGCTTTCCTATGGACGCTTGCGTGCTCTCACTGTGAAAATCACAGTGAGAAGCACGCAAGCGCCTCTAGTGGCTGTCAATGAGACAGCCACTAGAGAATTAGGGGGAAGGCTTAACCCATTCATAAACATAGCAGTTTCTCTGAAACTGCTATGTTTATAAAAAAATGGGTTAACCCTAGAAGGACCTGGCACCCAGACCACTTCATTAAGCTGAAGTGGTCTGGGTGCCTAGAGTGGTCCTTTAAATGTCAGTTGCCACAGCTCTGACCATTTTTCTAGCTTACCTAAATCATTCACCATTTGGCTTATCCCTCCTGGAACATCAACCCTGTTACATATTTTTGTATCATCAGCAAAAAGACATACCTTACCATCTGCAATATCACTAATGAAAATATTAAAGAGAATGGGTCAAGTACAGATCCCTGAGGTACGCCACTGGTGACAAAATCATGCTCCTCACATACTCTATTGACTATAACCCTCTGTTACCTGTCACTCAGCCACTGCCTTACCCATTCAACAATATTGAAAACTTAAAGATTGCAGTTTATTGATAAGCTTTCTGTGTGCAACAGTGTAAAAAACCTTACTGAAATCTAGGTAAGCAATATCTACTGCACCACCCTGATCTATAATTTTAGTAACCCAATCAAAAAAATCAATAAGATTAGTTTGGCATGATCTCCCTGAAGTAAACCCATGTTGTGTCTGATCTTAAAATCCGTGTTTTTAGATGTTCAACAATCCTATCCTTTAACATGGTTTCCATCACTTTCCCCACTACTGAAGTAAGGCTTACTGGCCTATAGTTGCACAACATTTTTTGACTTCCAATTTTCTGGGACTACTCCTGTTAACAACGATTGGTTAAATAAATCTGTTAATGGTTTTGCTAGTACACCACTAAGCTCTTTTAACAACTTTGGGTGTATTCCATCAAGTCCCATTGATTTATTTGTCTTTACTTTTGACAGTTGAAATAGAACCTCTTCCCCTGTAAACTCACATGTAACAAATTACTAATTTGTCATTTTACCTAACTGAGGCCCCTTTCCTTCATTTTTATATGTAAAAACTGAACAAAAATATTCATTAATACAGTTAGACCTTTATCCTCTTCTTCATACCTTCCTTTTTGTTTTTAATCTACCTAATCCTTGTTTTACTTTCCTTTTCTCATTTACATTGTATGCCAGGCTTTGCCCTGCCATTCTCATCTATGCAGTGAATTGAAAACAATACATTTAGGGGGGCGTGGCTTGGACGTCGGCCGGGATGGCAGCTTGAACTGAACGCTCCGCTCCACCGGCACCCAGAAAGCCCTATTAATTTGCTTTAATTAGCTCTGATGGGACGGAACCGACGCGGGGAACCGACTGGAACCCCCAGGGGTTCTCAATCGAACCAGCAAGGTCCAATGGATGGATTCCTGCACAGCCCCGCAGACACACGCGGTGAGGCCTCGGGATCCAAGATGGCGCCCAATCCCTCCACACCCGCAGCTGCCGAAACCCCCCAGGCTTCTACTTTGGATGGCATCGGAGATGAACTCCGCACCATAGCAGCCTCCATGGCCACGAAAGCTGACCTCCTAGTACTCACAACAACCATACAAGACGCCCTCCGGGCCGAAATGGCTGGAATCCGGTCGGAGGTTACTGCGCAGGGGCTCCGAGTACAGGAACTGGAACGCTCCCACGAGACCCACAGCACCAGGTTAGCATCCACTGACACGGCACTAGCCAGGCAAGGGGATATGCTCCTGCAGCTCAGACGTAATGTAGAAGATCTGGATAACCGGGGGCGCCGCTGCAACATTAGAGTGCGCGGCATACCGGAGGTGGAGGGCGAGGAGGACATTGAAAGCACACTAACGGCCCTCTTCCACCTTATTTTGTCCGATGATAACCCGCTGGACATTCGATACGACAGGGCGCACAGAGCACTGAGGCCACGCTCGCTGGAGGACGGCCCCCGAGATATCATCTGCTGCCTGCATTCCTTTAGTACAAAGAATAACATAATGAAGGCAGCGAGAGACCGACCCACATGGGAGTTCCGAGGGGCACACATAACACTATTTAATGACCTGTCACCGGTAACCTTGGAAGCCAGGAGGGCCCTGAGACCCATTACCTCGCTCCTCAGGGAACACAAGATACAGTACAAATGGGGCTTCCCATTTGCCCTCTCCGCACGTCACCAGAACGGCTGGGCCTCGATCCGCTGGCCAGAGGAAGTCCCCAGATTTCTGGAGGACATGGGACTGCCACCGGTACCGGTTCAAGACTGGATCCTGGGACCGCTAGATGCAGGTCAGAGACCCCAACGGGCACCCCGTCGCCGCAGAGGAAGATCACCGCAGGGACCCCAGCCTCACCGCCGGGACATGTAAATATAGCAACCGTCGCTCTGAGGTGTCAACCCGCCAGGAAGGATCTGCCTCCCCCCCCCTCGGACGACACCATGACATTGGCCCGGCAACACTAATACTCTTGGGCTCACTAGACTTTCTGACATCTGGCCGTTTACACCACCCTTAACTATCATGACCACAAATGTTAGGAGACTACCGCATGGATCCCGAGAGGGTCACGCTCCTATCTGCACCATGGGCCCATTTTCTCCAGGTATGAATACTGGCCCGACACACCCGCACCGGACATCATACACTAGCTGACGGTGTCCCCCCGACACAGTCCCTCCCTCCCTGGCGGAACGTTATGCCTCAACACCGATTCACCTACCACTTGAGCTACTACCCCCCCCCTCCCCCTCCGGTGACGCTGCGGGGAAACCCTGGCCAATTCATTGGGTGGTGGGAACTTGGGGGGGTGAGGGATTTAAGTATATGACCTTGGGTGTCCTCCCACCTCTACTGCAACCCTTGTGGACAACGCACACTGTAACTTGAACGGACTTGATCGGGTCACCTCGCTGGAACATTGGATACCGGGACTCTCACCAACCTGATAAGTAACCTCCATTGATATATGACGTCATGATCACCTGATAGGTTGTTAGCACAATATATTATACATACGCATTTGCTTGTTATGTTGTGGGACATCCTGGGACGGTAAATAGGGAGCTTGTGGGACTGCAGTGGTGATGGTGCAAGGGGTGGGTGGGTTGTCAGAGGCACGGAACATGATCGGGACAGACGTGAGAATAGGGATGGGGACTAGAGACGACACTTCCCCTGACACAATCAGCCACGACCTGTATGTTACTTAAATGAACACCCCCCCCCCCCCCCAAAAAAAAAAAAAAAAAAAAGGGGGAGGAAGGCGAGGAAAGATTGTTCGCACTCACAGTTACCATAGGGAGGTTCCCATAACTGAGAGATCCACGGGATGCAGACAGAGACCCACCCATGTCCAGACCGGGCCATATTGAGCTGACAAGGGGCGTGGAGACCAATAATATAATGTATTGACTGGGCATACCTAGACCTTTACTTTAGCTTTATGATCCCTAACGGTCAACATAAGGGTATGTACGCTCCATGGGGGCGACGCCAGGATACGAGGTAGATCCACCTTTGGGGGACACACGAAGGGATGGCGAAAATTGCTTTTAAAAAAAAAAAAATGTGTTTACTGTTATTAATGTTTAGGAATTAGCCCATGGTTTGTTATTTGGCTGTTTTCCAAACTGTTTGCTGCTTCACTTATTTACGTCCCACCTGACCATACACACTTGGGCTGGGACCCGGTTGGAGCGGGACACTTCCTTATACTGTCCCTCTCCTGGTTTAGACTACGACCACGACTCTACACATTCACTTGCATGACTTTCTCGGCGGAGCCACAGGCCTGTCCACATACCGATCTGAAGATCGGGGCAGTTTCTGGTCACTCCGACTGAGACGCAGGTGAACCTCCCTCGGAGGAGAATTCGGGGTGATCACCTCCCTCACCCCGCTGGGAACAACCCCAAGGGGGTGGCCCTTACGACCCACACCCCATTTTAACTTTAACATAACGCACCATTTGCAACTTCAGCTATCTACCCTAACCCCACTCACGAACACACACATACACCGAACCACACGCACACTCCCTCCGACAACCGCGGTACACGTTCAGGCTTGACGCAGATTTGGTGAGGCGACACCCACGTAGATAACCGATCACAGTCAGAACTGACAGGACACCCCGATATATATATATATACGTACGCAACCCTACATAATCACCGCTTGAATTATTCGGGAGAACACCCCTGATAGAGAGTTGACCCATAGGGCCTACACGGTAGGTCTGACCCACATCTCCACACGGGCGCACCCCTCGCTGCCTCGCGCGAATAGTTGCGACCCATGGCATACGATCGCGCCCCTCTGTCCGTCATAACCCTTAACTGCAGAGGCTTAAATTATCCGGAACGCCGCTCACACTTACTAAGGGGCCTCCACAACAGACACATAAAAATAGCAATGCTTCAAGAGACTCATTTTAAAGAAGGGGCTGCCCCCAAACTCAGAAACGCTCGCTTCCCGCTGAGTTATTGCAATAACCACCCGACCGCCCGTCGAGCGGGAGTAGCTATTTTGATTGCTGCGGACCTTGGTTTCCGCGAAATAGATAGACTAACCGATGATCAAGGCCGCTTTCTCTTTCTAAAAGGATTAATAGCGGACAGGATATATACCCTAGTGACTGTGTACGTCCCCAATTCGAACCAAGCACAATTCCTACGAGGAATGGTGAACAAACTAAAGGGATTTTCGGAGGGAGCTCTGATCGTTGGAGGAGACTTCAACGCCCCACTGGACCCCCTCTTAGACTCCTCCACGGGCCACAGCTGCATCTCACAACCCCGCATTAGATCTATTCGCAAAGCATTGGGGGAACTGTCGCTGGTGGACTGCTGGAGGGCACTTCACCCAACGGACAAGGACTTCACACATTACTCGGTATTACACAACCGTTACTCTCGAATAGACTATGTGTTCATTAAGCAAGGAGGATTATCCCGCCTACGAACGGCGACCATTGAACCTTCCACTTGGTCTGATCACGGACCAGTTCGAATTGAGCTGGAGTCCCCACTATTTAAGCCAACAACATGGTCATGGCGATTGAACGAATCCCTGCTCCAAGACCCAACAGTGAAAGAAGAGATCTCTCAGGCAATGGAAACATACTTTGCGGAAAACAATACGGAAGGGATGACACCAATAACGATATGGGAAGCGCACAAGAGTGTACTGCGCGGCATTATTATTAACCTCGCAACCCGCAAAAGAAAAGAAGCAACTCGCGCGATGGCGGACCTATATGACACCATCAAAAAGCTGGAACTTCAACACAAAAGGTCGCAACTGAATGAAACATACAGTGCATTGATGGAAGCTAGACGTAACCTGACGGCCCTCATCGCGAAAAGGTATCATCGTTCGCTCCAACGCTCAAAAAACTTCTTTTACACACATGCCAACAAAGGCGGGAAATTCCTCGCTCGCCTCTTGAAAGGGGATACACCACGCACGCAAGTGCAAAAACTACACCTATCTTCGGGTAAAGTATCCCTACACCCAGAAGAAATAGCGGAGGAATTTCGAACTTACTATCGCTCCCTATACAACCTTCCTCACCCAGAGGCCCTGATACGAGAGAGGGATGTATCACCTAACATTCGAATGTATCTCCAGGATACCATAAGGAATCATATAGACCCGGCAGCAGCATCTGTACTCGACGAACCGATTGCCACGGAAGATTTAGCAGCGGCTTTAAAAAACACGAAGACAGGACGCGCCCCAGGACCGGACGGATTCTCCACGGGATACTATAAAATGTTCGCCACGACATTGCTACCATGGTTGACAAAGGCCGTTAACGCAGTGTCGGACGGAGGACACTTTAGTGGGGAATCCCTGACAGCAACCATAACAGTCTTGCTCAAACCCGGGAAAGACCCAGAACAATGCTGCAGCTATCGCCCGATCTCTCTGCTGAATGTGGACACGAAGCTACTAACAAAGGTGTTGGCGACCAGACTCCAACGGATCTTACCGACCCTTGTTCATGCTGACCAAACGGGATTTGTCCCAGGCAGGGAGGCCCGGGACAGTACACTTCGCCTATTTTCAATACAACACCATGCACGGAAATATCAGAAACGCCTTCTGTTGTTGTCCACAGATGCAGAGAAAGCATTCGACCGGGTCAACTGGAAATACATGTTCCGAACACTACGGTGGATGGGCTTCGGGCAGAGAGTTATGGCTTGGATTACAGCTCTGTATAGCACACCGAAAGCAGCAGTCCGCGTTAATGGGGGGCTTACTACAAGCTTTGGAATTGCAAATGGGACCAGACAGGGATGTCCCCTGTCCCCACTCCTATTTGCACTCTCCCTGGAGCCGCTCCTACAAGCTATACGAGACAACCACGACATCCGGGGCTACTTGTGGCAAGATGTAGAACACAAGGTGGCCGCGTATGCGGATGATCTTCTATTTTTTGTTTCCCAGCCCCGAACCACACTGCCATGTTTACTATCCGAGATAGACAGGTTTGGTCGACTATCAGGGTTTAAACTCAACTTGGCGAAATGTGAAACATTGAACGTCACCATACCCGCGGAGGAATATAACACCCTTAGCCTAATTTTTCCGTTTCGTTGGTGTACAGGGGCTATGAAATATCTCGGCATCTGGATCCCCACGAATCCCCAAGACATCTACCAACGTAACTTCGAGACATTATTACGAACCATTGAAACAGACTTGGCAC